TAGAGAGCTGAAATTTTATGGGAATGTTCCCCGTCCAAGTAGGTGCTAATGAGCTCAAATCCAGCCTCCGGGTAGGCGTGGTACCCCGTGTACGGGCCCCCCCAAAGGTTTTCCCGCGCAAATTCATAACTCGGGGTTCTGAGATGCTAGAAGGCTGAAATTTTAGGGTAATGTTCCCCGCCTAAGCAGGCGCCAATGAGCTCAAGTTCAGCCCCGGGATAAGCGTCGTACCCGCGTACGGACCTCCCAAAATTTTTCCCGCGTAAATTCATAATTCGGGGTTCTGAGATGCTAGAAAGCTGAAATTTTAGGTTAATGTTCCCCGTCCAAAAGGGTGCTAATGAGCTCAAATCCAGTACCGGGGTAAGCGTGGTACCAGCGTACGGGCCTCCCAAAATTTTCCCGCGTAAATTCATAACTCGGGGTCCTGAGAAGCTCGAGCTGAAATCTTAGGGGGGTGTTCCCTGTCTAAGTGGGTAATAACGAGTTCAAACCCTACCCGCGGGTAGGCGTGGTACCTACGTACAGGCCCGTGAAAAGTTCCTTCCGGGTAAGTTATTTACTCGAGAACGTGAGAAGCTAGAAGACTAGAATTTTGAGGGGATGTTTCCTGACGGTTCTGGTGGCCAGTCTGAAATTCTTTCAGTTAGAAGCATCTGCCGAAACCGATGCCGGTACCGACAGAAACTGCGGGGAACCCTGCAAAAAACGCATCTTCGCACGGGCAGCCCGTGCGTTGGCCAATTATTTTTCTGTTGATTCAACGTTTTACTTTAATTTTCGTCCTTCGAGAAATTTATACTTTTTCCTCTTTTTTAGGGAACTTAGGAAGCCTAAAACAGTTGGCCAGTTAGAGTGCACTTCATGAATTCAGTGTCTTTTAACGGAATTTCCCATAGACGGCTTTATTTACAGTAATTGCGGCCCGGAGCAATGCTAAAGCCATGCAATAGTGATCCGGACTTTGAAAAGTTTAGGCAAAATGCCGCCGCTCGAGATGGTTTCGCATGCAAAATATGGGCGGGTTTTGTCTTTCTTTCCTGAAAATCCTTTTTCTTTCTGCTTAATTTTAACGTTTTTTCTTTTCTGATAGAATTGACTGTAAATTCTTTTAAACGAAATGCCTTCGGCTCTTGCAAGTACCAGTGGTTCTATAAGCGGGCGCCTTCCACTTTTAGTCGTCGTAGTATCCACTTCATCTACAGATGGATGCCGATGATCAAATAGAACATCGGTATTTACAAATTTGTAAGAGTGTTCTGGAAACAATGCACTGTACTCTTCTACTGCTGGACGGCGAATTTTGGCAGTTCTGATTGTAGTTCCTAAATCCTGAAATTTTTGTTATTCGTCAAGACCAAATGCAGTGAATAGTGATTCACATATGCAGCTGAAAATTAAAAAAATCATCACATGAAGTATTATAGATCTGAAGCAGTGCAGCTAGTATTTTTTGGATTTTGAAATTTCATAGATACTCATATGTGCGGGAAATGGCACTCTAGTTGTTGATTTTTTGTCGGATTTTCGCGACATCTCAATTTCCTTTTAACAGTTGCCGGCTTTTCGCTAGAATTCACGGGACAAATGGGAAGCACTCCTAAATTCTACAGTGGATTTGGTACTCTTTTTTTGTTGACAGAATAAATAAGGATTTGGTGGTACTTAAATTTGTCTACAAAGTATGTAAAGATTTAATTTCAGTGACACTGTGTATTTGTTGACAATGAAATCGCACAATATGTATTCAGTTAGGTGGTATTTTAAAAATTTTTCGATGCAGTAAATCAGTGATATGTAGTAAATCGATGGTAAATCGACAGTTCGGTCAAATCCTAAATTAGTCGACAAAAGTACTAAAAGATCAAATTAAATCCAAAAATGTGTACCCAATACTTGTATATTATGTTAAAAAATCGTTTCTTGTAAAGAAGAAATGTGAATTTTTATGCCTAAAAAATGATAATTTTTCTGTTGGTTCAACGTCTTACTTTAATTTTCATCCTTCGAGAAATTTATACTTTTTCCTCTTTTTCAGGGGATTTAGATAAGAGCCTAAAACAGTTGGCCAGTTAGAGTACTTCTGTTGTAAATGGGAATACTATTCCCATTTCGTAGCATTTTTTTCATCAAACGTCACCTGGGAACTTT